GTAATTATATGAAATAATGTCAAAAAACCTCAAGGGTGTAGTGTCCGTTGCCATGTAGTGTCCGTTGCCAAGTATTACATATAGGTACATTAATTACATTTTGTTGCAATCTTGAAGTAATTTTGTCATTTATGTTATTTCTTTAGCATTTTGTCAACCCCTAAATGACAGGTCTTGCAAGATTTGGTGTTCTTGTCATGTACTTGAGTGGCCAGATGTGGCCGGCAACGGACACTACAGCTTAGTTGTAGTGTCCGTTGCCGGCCACATTTGAAATGAGTGGGCTAAGTTTGGATAGAGCACAACTTTTGAACTGAACGTCTCTATCCAAAAATTTAAAAAGTGCAATGTATGGCAACACCTCTAGTGCGATTTTCTGCACTGAAAGTAGAAAAATATAAAACTTGAAAAATTGGCCCAAGTGCAACCCTTTGGCGCACCCTGATCTCGGAATAGCCGTTGGTATTGCCCTGAGGAAGCTGACGGAATGGGATACTGAAAAATCGGCTTGTAAAATCCCCAATAAATGTGAATAAAGAACTTTGTTATATATACCACTTAAGTCTTACCAACCTGATGAAATTATTCACAGACAATCATTCTCCTTTGACCACTTACTTGCCCAATTTTTGACTTGAAAATAGACAAAAAGAAAAAGATAACCTGTGCATATGTATACTGGCTGAATACTTACTTCTCCAAACACACATGATGTTAATGCTGACTTGTGTCCTGCCTGTAGCCTGGTTGGGAGATTGTGGACATGGATACAGAGCCCAGACAACCCCAGGTGCAGGCGTCCTCCCCATCTCAACCTGCCATGCCTCAGGGCTGGGAGGAGAGACAGGACGCAAACGGCCGGACGTACTACGTGGACCATAACACCAGACAAACAACCTGGCATCGCCCTTCCATGTGAGGAAAGAATCACATTATACTTCATGAAAATACAAAAAAACAATATGGTGTTAAGTATACAAAAATGATAAAAAAAATACTGGTTAAGTTGTAACAATAGCTCTTCATTCATTTGGACAGCAAAAAAAAAAAACAGTATTATTTTGCCAAACTTTGAGAAATCCAAGTAGGGAAAAGTTGTGAAATAAATAAGGAAAACTTTTTTACTGTCTTTTGTTTCTGTGATCAGTAGCCAAGCCCCAGCAGGGGGGCTGACTCCACAGTCTGCAGCCACCACAGCCTCGACTGCACAGGAGAGCAACAACCGGCAGGCAGCACAGATCTTCCGCCAGAGACGGCAGATCAGCGAGGACATGTCCACACCTGGCGGGGCAGGTGCGGCGGCTGCAGCTGCGGCGCTGGTGGAGCTACCTGCACAGGTACGCAGAGGGGCACTTTTCATTTCATAACCAGGCTTCAAATACAAGGTGGGGAGTATTCCTCCTCTCCTTTGAAAACATTTTGCAGTGTTGTGAAAGATAGACAAGAATTTTTTGGTAGTGATTCCTTTCGAAGTCTCTCAGGATTTGTATCAAAGCAGCAGAAGTAGACATGCACGTGACTATTGCCAGTCAGAACAGGTTGTTGTTGACATCACCACCTGTTTCACAATCCTCCATTTCGATATGCTCTCAGCATGAGGTTTTTGCTGAATAATAATAGGAAGTGCTACTTTAAGCACTTTTAAATATTACTAGAATTGTTACTAGTGAATTCTTTCATCAGTGACAACTTGGAAGGATACGGATACTAACCTCCAAATTTTCGATGGCTATCAGTCCATCTTGTTCACGGATAGCCATCGAAAGTTTGGAGGTTAGTATCCTTATTCTTCCAAGTTGTCACTGATGAAAGAATTCACTAGTAACTGTATCAATATGTGACAAATGAATCTTTTCAACGATAATAGAATTGTGTCATGCAAGGGATGTAAAATGATTCATGTTACATGTACTAGTATGTCAGAGTAAAGAAATGTTTATACAAGTCACTGCCAGAACTCCCAGTTTCTGTAGTATTTGTTTTGATCACATTTTCTTTGTTAAGCACAAACTGAAGGGGAACAGTTTAATTATGATGTGTTTAGGACATGACATTTTGAATCCTGGTCAAGACCACGATCATGTAACCATGAATAATACCCAGCTAGTACTACATGTAGCTCGTCAAGTGTAAAGATGCATAAACATTTCCTACACTTCTCCCTAAACCAGCACGCCAGCAGAGCCTGCACAAAACCTGGATTTTTCATGTTTTTTCGTTGAGGGTTTGATCAATGTTTTTCAGAAATTTGCCCGTTGCAGATGTTAACTTTTCCGATACAACATTTGAAAACTATAGACAGGACATAATCCTTAAAAACATGAACACTGCTAAAGTCCTATGCACAATACCTTACGGTTTTTGTAGGCACAGTACATTCTGCTGACGTGCTCCCTAAACAACACAGTCCAAAGCAGCACTGGCTACAGTAGTGCTCAGCAAGAGGCTTGTAGGTGCTTAGATGGTGCATGGTCTTTGGTAGTTTGGGAACATGATGGTGTCTCATTGCTTCAGCATCTTTATCCATCCTTTAGATAGAGGTAGATAAAGTACTGTGGCACAGTAGCTGGCATGTTCCCTTTCAATGTTAACATTCAAACTGTCAGGCACCAACTGATGGAACACTTCATTAACCGATACCACAGTGTCTTCTCTTAATGTCAGTATGTGTAACTTGATTCAATTGTTACACTGAAGGAAATCGTTTTTACACTGACTGCTGATATGGTATTTTAATGAAGAGCTTTAAGCCGTGCATTCACTGATATTGATGCACAGACTCTGTATGTGCTATTGAGTCAGTACATTGAGTAATAAACAGCTGGGATTTCTGCCAAAATCAATGTGAAATACTTCTTAAAACACCCTATATATGGGAAGCTTTGTTACAGATCAAAGGTTGGTAATGACAAAATTTAAAGACTTCATTGTCCACATGCCTCTAATTTCAGATAAAGTGAATCAACACAGTGAAAAGCACTATCACCAAAGAAAGCTTTTTTCAGGCCTTGACCACGTCTGTGAAAATGACTGTAGCACTTTGCTATGTTTGTTTCAGTAAAAGTTACTAAATGTTATGATTTTAGATTGCGTCCCAACCTCGACAAGGCCCACCCCCACCAAAGGTACGTTGACTTCCCTCAGTAGAAGGAATGATTTTCCTAAAGGCGTGGTTTTTTGCCCTTCCTGAAACGCTGCGCTGCCAGAAACATTTCTAAGCTTGTCTCCTACCTACTGTAGTGCTCTAGCATGGCATGGTCTGAATTACCAATAGTGTTGTAACTCATCTTTTAGCAATAAAACTATCACAAATCCGCTGTTGGCTGGACTTCCAACTGCTGGTGAATTTAGGAAATAACACTTTTCCAGGCTTGGAAAAGTGGAGAATAAGCTAGTTCACAGAGTGAAGTCATGTGCAGTGTGATGCAGTCTGGAACATGAAGAATGGCCTGGGGTGTTAAAGTTTGACATATTGCTCACACTGGAAAGTTGCAATCATTTACCAGTCCTGATATTGTACTTACACAAAGCCATTCAAACACTAAGCACCAAACGTTTTCTGAAATACTGCCTGTTCTATGAAAAATAAAAGGTATTCTCAGATCATCCTGTGGTTAGGATTCATAACTTCCAGGATAGTTAGGCCTTTATACATTTCAATACAACCCTGCCTTATAGTCATAATGTAATAATTATTGTAATCTTTCTCAGTCTGACTTTGTCATCTGCTTTAATACCTGTCTTCAGAGGAAAAAACTTTTGGAGACAAATTATAAAGCCAATACACATTTTGCACTAAGAGCCATATTATAGTACACATACTGTCAACAGTAATAAGGTATTCGTTAGGTCGATATTTTACAGAAGTAAAGGTTTTTTTATAGGAGATACAATACAAGTCATTCCATCTGCCAGTTCCATACAATTACATGACATAAAAAAGACACCAAAAATATACATGTATATACTAATAGTAATAACATACATATATATGCATAACCAATAGATCAAACCTGGATTGAATAAAGCCTAGTAAAAAACTTGAGAGTCATCAAAGACATGCAATAAAAAATTATTTCTGACTATTTGCAGTTATGTGATGCACTGCTTATCTCCAGATTTTAATTTCTTTGTTTTGTTTTTCTTTTCCAACCCCTTTTCTTGGTAGATCCATCGAATGAGTGTCAGGTCAGAAGTAAGTGTGGTCTCCTTTTCCTTTCTCGCCTCTAGTATCAGGCTAGACTAAGGGATGGACCAAAAAGTTATTTACAGTATGTACACAAGTTACACAAGTCAGATGAGTATTCAAACCTGCCATAGCTTATGTCAGTCCTCAGTCTGAATCAGATTATGTCTCCCTTTGAATCACAGGAAATACACATTTCTGACAATAGTCTCTTCCCCTATCCATCCTTGTTATAGTCCTGCAGTAACTGTTTAGAATAGACTTTTTCTGGTGCTATCAGTATATTAGAAGTCTTCCTGTTTTAAAAGGTTGGACTTAAAAAAAGAAAAGGTCATGCCACCTGGAAGGTAATAATTGGTATTAAAATAATTAGTGGTTTTAGCAAGAATTTTAATCAGTAGTCACTAATGTGAGACAATGACAGAAGCCAAGATACCAACATGATTGACAGCAACAGCTTGAAGGTGCATGTTTTAATCCTGTAATCTGGGGGAGAGGAATAAAAAGTTTTTCATTTCAATTTCAATAATTTTATCCATGAATGATTTGATTGTATTGAACCAAGAAAATGTTGGGTCATGCCAATGATACCGGGTACTTTTCAGCTGTATTTACAATGCTATGTGGACGAAGAATGTACAAAGTACTAGTACATATGTGTGTACTAACTTATATAGTATATATATAGTGCCATGCTCTTTAATCAACCATACAAACTTTCTTCTCCTGTTAACTGTAGCTGAAAATATTATGTAATGTTAAATCTCATGATTTGTTCACTACTAACAGTACCAAAGGCATTAAGTACTAGTAACAAATGAAAATTCCTAATCTGCTCTGTGTGGATTTTCTGACAAATTGCATGATTTTACTGTCCATAGCTTGCTGCAACCTAATGTTTTAAGCATCATCTTCTTTTCCAGATCTACTTTGCAAATCGGCAATTATTTCCTTCAGGTATAATGAGATGTAGAGTTGATGTTGTTCTGTTTGCCTGTTTCAGTCCCAGCCCCATGGCCAGTCTAACCTGGAGGCAGAGATAGAAGCCCTCCCCCCTGGCTGGGAGATGAGGTACACAGAGGGGGGACGTCCCTTCTACATCGACCATAACACCAGAACAACTTCATGGGTATGTGGTCTTGTCTTTTAACTTGTGAAACTGATGTGTGGGGGTGGAAAATGATTTAGGGCTGTTCCTCACATTCCAATGTCCAGCAATGGTTCAAGCTGGCTTTCCTTGATAAAAAATATGTGAATTATTTGTCTAACTCTAAGCAGCAAGATCAGTTCTTTGGAAATGTTATGGTGAATTGTGTGAATTGTAGTTGAGACCCATATGCAAGCACAATGTCATACATTCCACCCAGGGTTTATTTATAGAAGAGGATTACATTTGTTTACTTCCCAAATAAGAATGCAAATAGGATCCTTTCCTTATCTGCTCTATTTGAGGACTAGAGACAACACTTCAGATACATCAGGATGCTAAACACTCTTAGTACCCTGGTGTAGGGTACACAGATATTTAAATCCTCAGTCAGAGTGGCTACAGACATTTCTGAATCCAGCTTTGGCTCCTTGCAATTGTGGTGTCATGTAAGCACTGGTATCCTAAAAATAATGTGATCCTCAATTATTCATCAGTTTAAAACACTGTTTTGGAATTGTCTCATGGAATGGGGATGATAAATTTGTGAATCCACCCTGGCTTCTATTCAAGCAAAGGTATCTTTACTATTCCTTACTTTTGTACTACTAGTTACTTGCAACAAAATGTAGGATATATGAGGGTACATCTGTAATGTACTAGTCGTGTTTAGTGCTTTACCATACTTGATTACAGGCTGTCTGAAAACACCAAACATCTGTTTACGTTCTGTTGCAGCATGACCCGAGAAACGCGGCCGCTGCGTCGCCCCAGCCTCACCGCTCCATGATGCCGCGTGCAGCGACAGTGACCTCCCCGGCAGCAGGCACGCTGGACACGCCACAGGTCCGACAACGTGCAGGGTCCAACCCTGACCTCTCCCACCTGGGACCACTGCCGGTCAGTCCACTACAACAGTTCCTTATCATTCCTACAACATCTTACATTCACGCTGCTGTTGGATTACTGTTTGAATTAACATGATTATGGTACATATAGTTTTACTTGTCGGAAGATTGAAAATACTGGTGGGGAACTTAAAACATATCCACCAAGATGCATCACATTCACATACAGTAGATGCCTAATGATACTCATGCACAGTCCCTATTCCTTATTATACTGGCCCTCCCCGTTATGATGGTCTGGCCAGTTATATACATGTACATGTGAACCTTCACCAATTAGACAGTGAACAGACTTACTTTCTGGGGTATTGCATCCAATGTTGCCCTAGTGCAGGGTTTACTTCAAGTTTTATTGAATGTCACTGTTGCATTCTGCTTGTTGTATTCATGGTGCCGCTGGACCATGATTCTGCTGTCAGTCATGGGTGATTGACAGGAGCGACAGGATTAATTAATTATTCATACCCTAGATGCCATATTTGGTCCGTTCTTTTCCCACAGCGACGAAGGAGGAGGCCAGGGAATGTGTGTGGAGGGCGGGGTTTCAGGGAGACCTTTGAGGATTCAAATAAAGTTTGCATTTCTTCACAGTGTTGTGCTGTTGATAAACCGTTGTCATGTGGACTTGAGAACAACAGGATAATGCTAAGAACATTTTGAAAAAAACATAGAGAACAATATGAAGGCCCATCCAAGTTGACCATTTGATACGTATTATAATTTTACTACTGACCAGGGACAAAAGAGAATGAGAGGAATTCATTTTTAAAAAGTTGATGAAATTGTCTAAGTTACGAATTCTTGGAAGAGTTTATACTGCAAAGTCAGCCTGATGAAATTTTCGCCAAAAACATAGTGATTGTCAGATGAAAAAGAGTCAAGGACTGTTAGCCATGTTTTAGAATGTTCCATTTCGTGACTTTCAGACATGTTTTGGAATATTCCATTTTGTGTCTTTGCTCTAGACACGCTATGGAATCTTCCGAATTAAAAAAACATGGTTCAAAGACACCCAATGGAATAATTTCCTCCATATGCATGTATACTTGGGAAACGGGGAGCGGGTGTTCCATCAGAGTTTCTCCTTTTTTTAATCATGAGGAACGTTAGCTTGTGACATTATCTGTGACAGGGATGGTCGTGACAGTCGGTGTGAGATTGACCATGATTCGTCAGTGCTGTGGCAGTTCTGTGTGTGGGTGTCCAGGTTTTAGTTACCTTAGAATGCATTTTGGCAGTTATGTTTCATCATTAAACATCTCAGACTGTACCCATATAATGAAACATTCAACAGTACAAAATGTGTCCAGCCACATGTTGATCAGCTCCGCCCTCACAAATACTAGGCTCCACCCCAAAACACTGGATGCTCCGCCTCCAGACATGGGATTACAAAAATCATGTTTTAGGAAGGATCATGTGTTGGAATGCAACAGGCATTCCACTTCATGTTATTCCAAATCATGATTTGGAATGGAACACGTTTTGGAGTGCAGATGCATTCCACTTCGTCTTATTCCAACTCATCATTTGGAATAGAACATGTTTTGTTTGGAATGTACCAGTCACTCTATAAATGTTGTTTTCCAGTCGGGTTGGGAGGAGAGAGTACATACTGATGGGAGAACCTTCTTCATTGATCACAGTAAGTTACGATACATTTTGTAAATCATAATGTATGTCATTGAGTCTATACCACATATATTATGTCTATCCCTCAATGACATATATATGTCAAGAGGCCCTTAATGAATGAACAGGGTTGATGTTTCATTTGTCTACTGGTCTAGGTTTGGTAATCTGCACTTAAAACTTGTCCTGTACCAAAAATTGCAAGGAAATTTTTAGAATTTGCTTATTTTATTGCATGTTTAAGAAGAATATAGATATACGTTGTAATTGTTCCTCCCTTTTCATGAATATCCCATGAATATAACTGTTATCAAATTATTTTACTTGCCAGACACCAAAAATACCACCTGGGAAGACCCTCGGCTAAGCAGAGCCTTCCAGAATGCTGCACTGGCTGGACCGGTTAGTCTTCTCTGAATGTGTTTGATGAATAGTGCACAAATTTTGTAGCAGTCGTTCAAGGTGCAGACAATTCCTCGTTAGCTCAATGAAAAGACAAGTGGTCCTACATGTAATTGTCTGCAGAATCAAAACCAGCATGGACCATGAAATGAAAGTCTCGTCAGCAGGATTGGGTTGTTAGGAATGTGTTGACAAGGCCACAGAATGGATGATTTTGACAACTTTGTAAAGATTCTGGACTTGTGGGATGAAGAAGAGTGCATTAATATTAGACGGGTAAACAGTGTTCCTACGTTTGATTTCTATTTTGTGCAGTTCAGTTGTTCTCATATTCTAATGTGAAGTACATGTACACTTGGGCATTGTTAGTGTTAAATCTGTATTTAGTCCTCTTTGAATTATCGGTGCATTAAACAACCAGACTTTGGAAGAGTGTTTAAAGTAACTGTTAATGCTATTGTTCCAGATTTCGGCAGACTTCTTAATTGGAGTAGCAGATAGTACAAGATGAGTTTTAACTGTCAGCACTGCGTTTTTCTCCTATTTAGGCTGTGCCATATTCCAGAGATTACAAGAGGAAGTATGAATACTTCAGATCCAAATTAAGGAGACCAGTAAGTTATTTTATATTCTTTCATTATTTTGAGCAACTGATACATTGCAATACACTAAACTGAAGGGTAACTGAAGTAAAAAAGGACATTTTTCAACAAGAAGTGCTCAAAGACACTGATGTGTTTAGTAAAGGCATTAAACTAAATTAAATGTTTTTACAACAGGCCAACATGCCCCAGAACCAGAAGTTTGAGATGAAGCTGCACAGAAACAGTATTTTGGAGGACTCTTATCGAACCATCATGGCCTGTAAGAAAGCAGACAACTTGAAGGCCAAGCTGTGGATTGACTTTGAGGGTGAAAAGGGTCTGGACTACGGTGGAGTGGCAAGGTCTGTATACTGAAAAAACATTTTCAATTTCTCTTGAGTTGTATGTTCTTTACCTGTGAAGATTGCTTGCCTGCTGTGGTTTCACTATACAGCACTACTGTAACAGTAGTATGCTAGTCTTTTTCATAGAACTACTTCATATTTAGTAATTTGATCAGAGTACTTATTAAGTGCATGAAATGATAATAATGACAAACATACTATGTCACGTATTGTAATACATGCCATTTAAGGAATGACATGTAGTTAAAAAACTTGATGCTGTTGTATTTCAGGGAATGGTTCTACCTCCTTTCACATGAGATGTTCAACCCATACTATGGCTTGTTTGAGTACTCTGCGAAGTGAGTGAGACATTTTATGATATCTGATATATTATGTGTGGAAACTAGGTAGCTATGACATTTTTCTCATCTTTGGAAGACTTGATGGAATAATGACTTTGCAATCTTGGAATTGGAAACATGGCTATGAAAAAATTGCTTTACTTGTTTTGAGAGTGTCCATCTTATTTGTATACATAGTTAACTGGGAAGCCATAGTGAATACAAAGTTATTTAGCCATTGTTAAAGCATTGTTGGAAGGGATTGATTGACACATAAAGGAATAATTTTGATACCCCCCCCCTTCCCTCCCTTCCAGTGACAACTATACCCTTCAGATCAACCCCAACTCTGGGCTCTGCAATGAGGACCACTTGTCGTACTTCAAGTTCATTGGCAGGGTGGCTGGCATGGCAGTGTACCATGGAAAACTCTTAGATGGTAAGAAGATATCACTGAACAGCTGTGACATCCATAATCTCCTGCTAACGTACAAAGTCTAGCAGCTGCATTTTGTCAGCTTTATTGTACCCTAAGGGGGTAATAGACTACATGAACAGATGGAAAATAAAGCCAAAACACCACATGGAGAATGTATAGAATCCTATTATCATGATTTGTTCTAGATACATGTATTTTATTAACGGAATGTAAGAATAGGGTGAATATCAGGGACTTATAAAATTGTGTATTTCATTTCTTGCAGCATTCTTCATTCGTCCTTTCTACAAGATGATGCTGAAGAAACCCATCACCCTGAAGGACATGGAGTCTGTGGTATGTACTGTTATTCTACCTGAAGTCTAGTGTGCAAGATTTCCTTCATTTTCCAAGATTCTTGTAAAAATAGTGTCCATCTGTCTGCCTGAATTGTTACAGAATAAGCTGCTACATTCTGTTTGAAACTTCCTCCCCAGGACAGTGAATATTACAACTCTTTGGTGTGGATCACAGAGAATGACCCAGAGGACCTTGACCTCAGGTTCTGTGTGGAAGAGGACCAGTTTGGACAGGTGAGTTTTCTGAGTGTCATCCTTCAATGTTACCAATAAGTCTTTTCTAGCCTGTAATATGTACTGTCTTTTAATAGTTAAGCGTTTACTATAAATTGTAACAATTTTGCCTTGAAGTTGTCGGGACCTTTCTTTGCCATGGCTCTTGAAATTTGACCCTAAATAACAATTAACAGAAATGTGGCTATGTGTTTTTCCTAAGCGATGTTGTTACCTGAGTCTGAATGTTTGAATGTTTTTATGACCCTTACTAGACTGTCACAAAGGACCTCAAAGCTAATGGTGCCGACATTGTGGTCACCAACAGCAATAAGAAGGAGTACATTGAGTGAGTGAAAATTTTTATCGTAGTAACTTAGTGCACTTCTTATAAATCCTTTAGTCATGCTTTGAAAACTTCATTTCATTGTATCAAAGGTAGATTTGGTAGACTACTAGTGTCGTAAGGGTAGGGTTGGCAATGGTAATGTGATAAATCAGAAGTCAAGTACAAATCAAATTGTTCTAATTGTTAAGAAGTAATTTTATTGCCAAATGCTTTAAGATATGTTGTAGAGTCACTTTATGATGTACTTATATAAGTCTCATAGTAATTTTGTATTCCTTCTAGCCTTGTTATCAAGTGGAGGTTCAGTTCTAGGGTCCAGGAACAAATGAAGTCTTTGATGGACGTAAGTTGACTGTATTAAAATCATTGCTTCTGCCTAAATAGCAATGTACAGTTGAGTTGTATTCTTAAAATTTTCGATTGTACTAGCTAAGTCTCTTTCCTTGAATTGCTGCCAACTTAACTATAAGAGAGTTCAAGGGATGGCACCGATAAGAGTTTAACAACACCAGAACATATTGTACATACTAGTACTAACTTTGTCTTGCCTTTCATTTTATTACAGGGTTTTAATGAGTTGGTGCAACAAGAGCTGCTGAGTATTTTTGATGAGAGAGAAGTGGAGGTAAGACCTGCATTGTCTGATGTAATGCCTGATGGTCAAACTTAAAACATTTTGTAGTAACTGTTGTTTTTATATGGTCTATATAACATACTACAAGATGTAAAGATTTTCTGTAGATAATGTCAGCATGTACATTTGCTTTCCTATTTCATTCCTTTCATTCAACTATAAAGTCAAGTAAATGGTGGCATTAATGGAAAGAAAGATGTCCTAGCTACAATAATGTTAGGCTTCAAGTTGATTTCTGGTTTCATAACAACAGTACACAGTTCAAGGATGCAACAAGAGAAAATATTTATGCCAGTTATTATTTCTTAAGTGATGAGTTTTGCTTTCCCATTTCCAGCTGTTAATGTGTGGTCTGGGAGACATTGATGTGAATGACTGGAGGAAGCACACAGCCTACCGAGGAGACTACAGTGACAAACATCCCATCATTCAGTGGTTCTGGAAGGTGAGTGTGTGAAAATATGTCTTTTATCAGCATGGATTTTTTCATCTCTTGAACAGAAATTTTGTAGTCAAAAATACTTCTACTTTGTGCACTTTTCCCCATTAATATGTCATGTACATCCATCTCAGAAATATTGATTCCAGGACTAGATCAAGTGGCAGTCTTGTTTTGAACTCTGGTGTGCCTATAGAAGATGAAGTTTTCTAAATCTGTACATTTTTACATTCATATACAAATACTCATGTTTGATGCTTTAAAATGACTTTTGACTGAGAAGTGACCAGTACACACCCCCCCATGCGTTTCCCAGGCTGTGATCCTGATGGATCCAGAGACCCGTGTCCGTCTGCTCCAGTTTGTGACGGGAACATCCAGGGTTCCTATGAACGGCTTTGCAGAGCTTTGGGGTAAGATATCAAACCATGTTACTAAATTAAGGACATAATATTACCTAACAACATATATATATCCTGGTACTACATTGCTGAGTACTTTTAGTTTGCAAAATACACTTTTATGCTGATTTAGGCATCACATATTACGCAGTGAAGTCAAGTGAGCTATAAGTTGTGTGCTCACCCGTAATAGACATAATTTCTCAGTTGTTGTATATCTGTCCCTTGCAGGGAGTAACGGTCCTCAGAAGTTCACCATAGAGAAATGGGGAAATCCAGACCAGCTGCCCAGAGCACATACATGGTAGGTGGCCACCCAGTGCTATGTTGTACATATAAAGCAATCAAAGTGCTGTATGTTTTTATAATATTTATAGTACAAATGTACAAGTCTTACTACAGTAACTGTAAATGCATGTATTTAAAAAGTTGCAGTATTTATATGTTTGCAGTTTTGAGACATGTCAGTACAGTAACTTCTGGATACTGAAAAATACCCCTGATGACTTTGAGATGACTAATGCCAAGTTGATACAATGATGAATCCTCAGCAGGCCTGAGAAAAGTACAAAATTGGCATATTTTAAAGGCGACTTTCTTTTTTATATTCGCAAGAGTTATTTTGACACAAGTTGCATTTTGCTTTCCATACAGCTTCAACCGTGTGGACTTGCCACCTTACCGGAGCTTCCAGGAGCTATGGGACAAACTGAAGATTGCAATAGAGAACACAGAAGGTTTTGAGGGTGTAGACTGATTTAGACCTGCTCAATACCAATGTATGTAATTAAAGTACTATTCCGGTAAAGATTGACATAGGTATGCAAGGATTATCCTGCTAGCAGCATGAAAAAGTACCAACATACAGTAGATATAGAGCAGTATTTTTTATCAAATGAATAGACCCTACAGAGGTTTGAGATATTTGCCATGCTCTTTCAGAACTTTGTAAAAGCCCTGCATCTGCAAAAGAAATTGTGCATGTTTAAGGTTTGTAATATATTAATACTGTAATTGACAGATTCAGTGGAAACAAACACATATTCTTGTATTCTGGTGGTTTATTAAAAAAAATAACAATATTACTGACCATCAAAATAACTTAGGACACAATATATAACATAGCTTTATCTAAATCATAGCTTTGGGATATTGATTTAAATGCTATTTGTCACCAGTAGTACTAAAATGATGGACAATGCAACACCTTTCAACCTAAAATAAGTGAATCATTCTATATGACTTAGGATTTCAGTTTTTACTAAGATCTTGGAAAGTTATCCCAAAGAATAAAACTAGTGGGTAAGGCTATTGTGCGAAAGTATGGTGTATGAACTGTATATGTCTACTGTCACAGTGTCACATGTTCATAAATTTTATTGAATTAAGTGAGTTAAAAGTGCTATAGACATTCGAGACAGAAGTTTTAAAGCCAATCATGAGGAATTGTGTGTGTGTGTCATTGCAAGTTTCCAATGATTGTTAGCAGTTTAAAAGGAAAGAAATTAAACCTAATTAATACAGACAATGTGCTTGTCCATATGGGAGCAAGCTTCTGGGTTCTTGTGAACTGTGTTCATGCATATGTGCTTGTACAGTTAGGTGTATTGAAATTGACTATTGTTTTGATGTGGTTGTTCTATCATTATATGCAATAAACTAATGTTCACCATTAGATTTCTTAGTAACTTTGTAAGACAGTATGAGGTACAATATATTTACTTAATATGTGTGAAACTTGGAGTTAAGGAAAATTAGGTCATTAAGGATAGAAATGATTTTTTCCTTTTTTTATGATGTGAAGATTTTGTCATGTTTGTACCCAAGAGTCTGCACATGTAATGTCTTTTTGACTTCTTTTATATCCAAGTAAAATTGTGAACTGCATTGTTCCTTATTCAGTGCTCACCTTTTGAAGCAATACTGTCAGTACTGTTGTTGAATTGATCCGCTCTGCTTTGCTCCTAGTTCAGTGTTGATATGAAAGGTTTATGGCCATGTGTTGCCCCTTGTGTGGGACAACTGAAGCTGATATTCTGCTTGCTCCAAACTACAGATAATGTGTAGATGTTCTGAACTACATGTACTCAGGGGTGCTTGTATTGCATCTCCCTGGTCAGTGGACAGTCTCTCATGCATTTGACATCTCTTGAGGTAAAAGTATATGGTGTTTAGTTTGCACCTATGGCCAAAGCTGTTTCAACATGCCATATAAAGGATTTCATGTTAATCCTAGGAAGCACATTATTTTCTTATTCATTGCTCCAAAATTACATTTATTCTTCAAACAAAGATTCTCTACATAAGAAGGAAGGACAGATTCTCTTCGATATATATTCTCCCCTCACCGTTAGTCACAAATCATCATACTGAAGAACTCAATGCATAGAAGACTGGTCCTTATACTGTACTTGAAAGGTATCGTTATCTTGTGGCATATGTCATTTTCTATTTCCTAGATTTATTTCTAATATATATGATAATTAGCACCTGTCTTTATTTTTAGTTTCAGTGCAGAGTTTTAGATTTGCACCTTTTGTACATATTGTGTATACATGAATGACTGCCATGCCATAGTAATTGGAATAAAGTGTGAAAGTTTACTTTAAACAGATCTGATTGTCTTTCACTTGTTGTACTTTTTTTCATTCTATCCAAGTCAGTTGTGTCTTTGCCGTTGATACAAAAAAATTACTCAAGTATGGAGATAACAGATTTTATGAACCCAATCCATGCATGTATCAAAAGGGACAGAGGTTATGGTGAAATGCAGTCTGCCAATGAACAAGGAAAGCAGACTAGAATGTCAAATTTACACGAATTAACGTCACTCGTAAATGTCAGATGGATCCCAAGTAATCTCCGTAACCTTGGTAACGTGAGAGACTGGTGTGAAGGGCAGTAAAAGTTTTCACACCCTCTGCAACTGTTTACGACAATCGGAAACCCCGCTTTACGGTCGACTGCGCTGATTGGTTGGGAAGTTTCCAAGAAAAGGTCATGCAGGGTCATCCTTAGCGGGAACTTCAGTTTGAGTGAGGGACGCGTACGGGACGGTCCGGCGCTCGGAAGGAGGGTGACCGCGCTAGTTGTCTTTTTCAGCGTTTCTCTCAGACGTTTTCTCTCAGAATTTGACCAGTACTGATGCAGGATGGCAGCGGCAGCAGTAGACAGTGTGTCGAGGCTTTACAAAGATCTGGAGAAGACGTACAGTGAAGCGATGGACGGTGTGGAGAAGGCGGCAGAGGAGGCGGTTGCCAGCGTGACGTTTCCGATTTTCAACATCCCCCAAGGACAGCTCATTCCCGCTCAGTGCTGGAAAATCATGGTATGTAAACAACATCCTCAGTTTTCCTCTCAAGTCAACAATCTTATTTGTTACCCGCCGGTTTAGGTACAAGAAACATCAACTTGACTTGACCAGTCTGCCAGGAAACGTTGTAACGCGTTTGGGGTGTGGGCGGGGTACACATGTCAAGGCATGTCTCTCGTTTCGACGTCAGATCTGTTTTTCATGACCTCGATGTACTTTTCAAACAGTCCAGTCATACTATACATTCCAACATTAGTTTTCCAACATTTGATGACGCCATTTCATCATACTTTATACCTTTATAGCGCAAAATACAATCCAGAAAAAAAATCACAGGACGCGCGCGCTTTCAGGGATGCGGCATTCCTCTTGACATGATTTATGGTCTGAATCGACTCCATATGGGCGATATTTGGTGTCACTTGTCATCCATTTTCCTACGGCAAAACGCCTGGCAAAACGCATCAGTTGAGATGCCCACTTCGAGTACAGCAATTATTCACTCAACACGTCTGGGGAAGACGGGAGATATTTTCACACCTCTTTTTGTCATTCGTGTACTTCAATATGACGTATGGAAGGCGGAACCCTTTCAGCGCGGAAGCGCGACTTGAGAAATGAATAATAATTGGCATTTCACAACTTTTTCTTTTTGCATTTGAAAAAGCACGCCGTGCGCGCCTTTCTTTTCTTTTTATTTCACAGCAAGGGGGTTAGAAAAGGATGGAGCTTGCTGTTTTCCTCCAGTTGTATAAATCTTCAACACAACTTTTCCCCTACACTTTTTTTCACAGAACCTTGTAAGCATAAAAGAACTACATATTGTGGTTTGGCTTCCATGTTTGTTTATTTTATTCATTTATTATTTATCTTTAACTCTTTTTGTTCCAATATGTTATGCCAACAAGGCATAGCCAGGTATGGTATGGGTCTGTGCCACAAGTAAGGAACCAAAAATTATTGAGACAATTGTTATTGTACATAAAGAAATAAATTGTCGACTAGAGAATTATACTTGACAATGTGCCTATAATAATTATAAAGTGTATTCAGACATCCTTGATGATACCTAACTGCCAGTGTGAGAGGGAGTTTTGAGTACTCCTCTATTAGAGGTTTGGAATTTTGCATAAGAAAAGAAGTCTAGCAGTTGTGTTCATGTGTCTCAGCTCATTGTGATTTATATAGAAGACGTTTGAACCCCATTGTTTATATGCAGGAATTTTGTGTCAGGAGGAAATGACAACTTTTTTTGTTTGTTTACAACTTATGATAGCTTTGGTTTATCTACTAGTATTCTGTGTTTTGACAGCAGAAAATGTGATTACAAAGTTGGTGGAAGGCTTTGAAAATACATGTAGTGGTACAAACATGCCCTGTATCTCATAGTGATCGTTCACACAGTTTGTAAGATAACCCATGTTTTTTGCCCATCTTCACAGTATTTGCTGAAGCCTGCATCTCCATCCTATGCCTGTCCTGTACGCAAGAAGAACATCAGGCGACGAAGATGCAACAAGTGTAAGGGTTGCTTGGTGGAGGACTGTGGCAGGTGCTACGACTGTCAGAGAAAACGTATCTGCAAGAAGAAAAAGTGTTTGGATGTAAGTTTGGAACCATTCCGAAAAAGCAATGTACTGCTCAAATAGTTTTTGCAATCTTTTTTTTACAGAAATATTTAGCAATATATCGTTCCAGTTGAGATGTAACGTTATCCAACTTGCTATTTATGTCACCACCTGCCGTAAGATACAATTGGCACACTTATCTTTCAAGTTCCATAAACATGTTTGGTTCTGTTTTGCCGTTTTGCAGCCACTTCTGCCCCCTGCTACCCGCTGTCTGATCTGCACCCAGACTGGCACGGTGTCTGCCCTGAGTGAGTGCAGCACGTGTGGGGAGATCCTCCACCCTCGCTGTGTGGCTGTGTTAGGGGAGAGGAGTTCCAAGGACGGCAGGACCTCACAGACATGGGAGTGTCCCAAATGTTGTCAGGGCAAAATTGCACACACGGGGGTAAGGACCATGGCTGATTATGTGACTTCTGAGTTCAAATATTCCAGTTTCATTTCAGTTTCTGTTTGATGTAACATAACTTTATAGTATTAGTAATGTGAAAGGGGTACTGACTTACAATTTGGTGAGGAGTCATTTTTCAACACTGAAAGAACTGTGTGGTATTTTAGCAATATTTTCTATATCACATACATGTATATATAGTAAGTAAGTAGACAATAATGTGATATCCAGCAAAATCAAGTCAAAATATGTGTTGAAAACTGCTAAAACTATATCTACTGAATATGAGCTGTAAAAATCTGCTTGTTGTATAATTTCTGAAAATTGTATAATTTCTGAAAATTGTATGAAACCCTTCCATCCCACAGGGTAGGACGTACTCAGGCCCCCTGCCCACCCTGCTAGAGAACAGTCTCCTGCTAGCAGGTTTCACTGACTACCTGGCCCGCAACTGTTGGGCCCTTGGGCTGTGTGACACGGACTCCCTGGGGTGGGGCGGTGACCCAGGGGAGATCCTCAGGCAGCTGGCTGGGATATGGGTGGAACATCTCCCCATTGCCAAGAAGGGTCAGTGTGCTTTTTTGTGCGACTGCTAATAGAAACTTTATACTCTGCAACATTGAAAGAAGAGAAGAGCAGGTTACTGTGATGTTCATTGTGTGTGAAAAGCAAGCTCACAAGTTCAGAGATTGGCCATAGTTGTCCTATTTGGAGCTTTTGCTTGTTTTGCACAATGTTGATTCCTGAGGCCAAGGAAAAAAATGTTGTGTTTCCTGTTTCACTCCTGAAAAAATTAGGGTCGGTAGGTAGGGATAATTTTATTTTATTTTCATTTTTTCTTTTTTTCAGAATTTGGTGATTGCGTATGATTTGCCCGATGGCAATGTTTTCTTCAGTTTGCAGTGAAATTTTCCCATCTATGGAAGGCTTTAGGTGACTTAGAACAAAAAGGGGAATGTGACATGATTTCCGACGTTCTGTTTATTTTGTTTGTTTAGACCTGAACCGAAACGTTTTTAACTTTACAAGTCTGGAGCCGGTCCTGAGTGCACTGTTACACAGCAATCATTTTGGCAATATGCAGGGGTCCACACAAAAATAAGGCTAGGGTCGGCAGTTGTTTTTAGGGTCGGTCGGGAAACAGGAAACACAACATTTATTTTCCTAGGCCTGACGCATGTTGAAGTGGCACCAGTATACATATTGTGTTTCAGTGGAATGAATGAATGAATGTCCACTACATGAATATTTCTTATGATGCCTATCTGACTTTTGTAACTGTTCAAACCAATTGCAGGCCTGTCAGGGGAAGATTTTGAAGGTCTGGTGGTGAGTCTAGAGGACAGTGTGGCAGTGCTGGAGTGGTACGGACAGAACCATGGGATGTTCGACGGTCTGGTCCCGCTGGCCAGGAGGATGGTGGGGGTCGTGGAGGAGGTCAAGTCTGGGTACTGGGAAGGTGGGAATGATAATACATGTATATCATGTTCAAGTGCTGTTGTTTCAACAAGTCATATTTAGCCACAAAGACACTCTATATGTTTTCTTTCCACAACAACATTCCACCTGTCAAGCTGATAAATTCTTTGGCAAAACAAAGGTGAATGAAATGTTATACCATTACCAAGAACAATTTGTTGTGTTCTAAGATCTATCTTGATTAAGTGGTCACAAACTTGGCTGCTTTTCAACAAAATGGTCTGTTCTAACTGTAACAATTGTTCTTGTAGAGGAAGACCCGTACCTCGTGGAGAAGACGGAGCTGCCAAGGAGGAAGCGGTCCAGCAGGAAGAGTCAGGCCACCACAAGCAAAAAGAGCCCAAGGTATGGTGACACAGTGTTGCTGATCTTGACAACTTTGTGATTTAGATTGAAAAAGATTGTTTAGAAAATTTTGCTTCTCATGCCATCATGCCTATGGTGGTAAAGTTGCAGAGCTGCACACCATCCAGCATTCCTCCTGTACCTGTACTGTTGTAATAGAAGGAAGGAGATAAACCAAGTTCACAGTATGTAAGACTTTGATTAGGAGTAAAAACTACATCTTGCTATTGATTCTGTGTTACAGGTCTGCTTCAGATAGCAGTCCTTTGGAGAAGAAGAGCTCGCTGTTCAGGTTTCTGACCTCAGGCCACAGTTCTGCCGACAGTAGCCCTGTAGTCCCGGCATCTGACGTCTGCTCACCAGAGTCCTGCACTGACACTGCAACGGAGAACAGTCTGGCTTACATCCAACCAGCAGACAAAACAACCAGCCTTCCAACACCCCAAGTTGAGGACAAGCAGGTTGTCGGAGTAGGAGAAGGCCCAAACAAGGAGCCTGACAGTGGAACACCTAGTGACCTCAGCAACACCCCCGACAGTGACCCCTTCCCACAGTTCAGCAGGAAGTCTGACAGTGCCTTCCCCTCTAGCTGGTACGTTGAGGACAGTGACAGCGAGGACTACCTCCCTACACCTCCTAGATGCCCGTCACCTCAGCCAGCCAACCAGACAGACAGGAACCTGCCAGTGTCCCCACAACCCTCTCCAAAGAGGCTCAGAGAAGACAGTTCTGACTACATGAATGATGCGCTGGATGTGATGTTTGAGCATGCTCATCCCAGTCTCTCCAGTACATCAGGGTCCATCAAGATGTCAGCCAACAGCGCAACTGCAGATGACTTTGTCAACGATGTAAGAAAGAAGCTACAAGACTTTTTCTCAGCAACTGAAGCCAGAGAAGCCCGATATGAAGAGTCTCCTTCATTCTCTAACTCCACTGGTTCCCTGGCCCCGCCTGGGCATACATACCAAAGACAGGCAATGGTACGTGAAAGTCCCCACGCAGGGCTTGAAATCAGGCAAAATGTTGCCACCACCCAATCTCTTCAGACAGGGTACCCTCAGGCTGCTTTCCCACAGCAAATGCAGCCAGGTCACTGGGACCCAACAATCAACAGGCCACCCCCAGGAGCGGGTCAGAGCGCTACAGGGTACAACTCCATCTGCCACTGTGCAGCATGCTGTAGGCCACAGACCTACATGCAACAGCCACACCACAGCAGAGCTTCAAAGAAGACCCAGCGCACAGCCCCACCTGTGAGCCACACACCGGCAGGAAGGAGAAGCCACGCCACTGTAGCGAACATCCCTCCAGTCAGGTCTTACTCCCCCTCCTGGCACGCCACCAATCCGCAGTTGCAGGCAGCGACCAACGGGAGTGGTATGTCGTCCTATCACCAAGGAAGTTGTGGGAACGATGGGTTGTGGTTTGATGTGAACACGACGCCGCCGATGCCGACAGCTTACCGTGCAACAGTACAGATGAGCCTGGCCCCACAGGAAACAAGGAAGGTGCAAGGTCATCCAGCACAGCCACGGGTACCACTTGGTGACAGTAACAGATACATTCCACCTGCTAGATATGGAGGAATGAGGAGCAAAGGAACGAAGGATGCTCAACATCACAGTTACTGGCCTGTGTAGTCTGGAGCATTTTCTGTGGGTGGGATGGTTTGTAAGGTCCTCAGGAGAACAGGTTATCTGTACAAGGCCTGTCTTGTTAATGTTGGCATTTCTGTTTCAAAAATTGCATGCTTTTATAGATTTTAGAGTAGATTTATGCGGTAGCTTTGTTGTTAGTTGTTGTTGTTCGGTCATACTTCTGTCCTGAACAATGCTACAATAGTTGTAGGTGTCCTTTATACTACAACTTCATTGTTATTAGTACAAATGTAGTATTTTAACCTTCTTTTACTGTTGATACTTTGTTCCTTGACTAACTTTACTAATTTGTGTTGGGAGAACGTCAACACTTCTGGAGATATCTATTGCATTGATCTTACAATATCATAGGATCAGATAGAGCCTAAACAAAAAGTGTCCTGCTAATATTTTGTTCCAAAGTTCATTGACTTTGTTGAAGAGTTGTTTTAGACAATCATGTTTTATTAAACACAAAAAAGGTCTATGACTCAGATTTTATCAAAATATTTGTACCAAATTAGGCTACAGAAATTAAAGTTGATCATGACCATCATTTTTTTCCTCCCATCATTCCACTGTGCCTTTTTAGCATTGAGATAGAGCCTTGCTATGAAATAAGTTATAATAGACTATGATAGTTTAGTTCAATGATCAATCTATAACTGTATTACTGGGTTCAGCATAACTATGAAATAAAGCAACAATAAAGATAGGCAATAAAGATAAAACTATTAACTAAATGAAATAAATTTTTTTTTTCATATATTGGACATTTGGATAGTCTTGTAACTAACAGTTTATGGATATTCTTCCAATTTTTAAATGGTACCACAAATGGAAGCTGCCTAAAGATACCCTTTCCTTTACGTGACTTATTGAAATACTAGAAAAACTCTATATTACATAACACTGGTGGACTTATGTACATCTAATAGTATAAAAGTCTACCTTTTCAAAATGACTAAAAAGTGGAACCTCAATAAAATAAATTCTTTTATGTGATTTGTTGAAATACTAGAAAAACTACATTACACGACACTGATCGATTTATGTACATGTACATCTAATAAATGTTTTATAAAAGTGTACCTTTTCAAAAAGACTAAAAAGTGGAACCTCAATAATATGGCACTTATATCTAATCTGTAGTAACAAAATAAAATTCTGCTTGTAGAAAATCAATAATGATCAATGTATTAATCTACATTATGATAAATGAAAGCCTTATTTAAGGCTACTTTCTAGATTTTCAATTTCACTTTTATAAAAATTTGCACAAAACAAGCTAAAAGATCAAGTCTACATGGCTGTAACTACTGTGAGCATAGCTTGGCACATCAGATATCTGCATTTATACTTCTTTCCACAAGAAGAATGGTCTAGCCATCACTGAGTTCATCAGCAGGCTCTGGAGACAAGGAGGCAAAGAAGAGAGCTCTCCTAGCTGCATTTTTGAAGTAGCCGGTAGGTAGGTTATTTGCTGAGCCTGAAAGTCCACTAGCCCTCACACTTGTGTTATCCACTGATAACTTTGATGCAGGAGAGCTGCTGGTGGGTCTTTCATTCCCACTGTCCCTGTCTACAGACAGGCGACTGCCTGCTTCTCTTCCCAGCTGTGTTGAAGGTCGTATGCTGACATTTTTCCTGCCATTGTCCTGACCTTCAGGTCTGTATTGGTCTTGGTCTGGAGACCAATCTGGTAAATTGGAAGGTTTGGTTCCCAGCACAGACTTCTTTTCTCTCCTCAGGGCAAGTTTAGACAAGCTCTTCAGGGTTTCATTCCACATAGAGTCAGTGACGTCACTTTTCCCTATGTCATCACCTGAGGCTGAACTTGTGACCTCACTGAGATCTTTTTCCTCTGACTCTTTATCTGACTCTTCTACACCAGGTACCTTTGGAGTGTCTGCGACTTTGTGTACTGCTGATTTAAGTTTTGGCACAGTTACAGCATTGAAGGTGGATTTCTTTGGAACATTGCTGTCTGTTTTGGGGACTTGTCCTGTTTGTTGTTTTGTGTTTGTTCTGATAGCCCCTGGTTCTGGACTTTTCCCCTCTACTACTATCTCTTCAGGTTTGGGCCTGGGACTTTTGAGCCTCTTGTACTCATTATAGGAGACATTCATCTGCCTGGCTAACTCCATCTCCTTTTTCTTGACAGCTGTGTCCAGTTCCTCCAGCTGTTGCTTGTGCCTGTCGAACATGTCCTCCAGTTTCCTCCTGTGCTCCTGAGCCTCCTTCCTCTTCAGGTGGACCCGCTCCCATCTCTCCCGCTCCCTACGGGCCTCCGCCTCCTTCTCTTCTCTCCACTTCTTTTGCTGTAAAGGACACAACATATTGTATGTTCAACTTTGGGTCATTAAAATGACAAGGGTACAATTGTACTGTACAAGCAACTTGAAGAAAATTTAATGAATTTCCAATCAGAGTAAAATTAAGGTGTTGGAAGGACTAAGTGTAATCTTGGCTAAACACGTCTAGCTACACATACATCTTGTTTTTCCAAAATTGTGATTTCTGAAAATGACAGAAGTCACCTGAAAATGCATGTCCCCTATCCTCTTAAGTTGGGACAGATAGTTCCTGAGAGACTCCTGTCCATGTCCTCTGGTTACAGCCTGGACCTCCAGGAAGCATGGCAAACCAAACTTTCTCTCCACTGTCTCCATGGCAATATAGATCCTGTCTGAAGAGGACTTCTCCATCCAAACCTACAAGGAGAAATGATGAAAGCTTTGCCATAACAGCAGAAAAGTAGAAATATGAACATCATATATTATAGTGCATGTTTCTAGTCTACCTATTGAACATAAGTTTGTACCTTTGGATCCATCTCTCCTTCACAAATCTTGTTGACAAGTCTGCAGAGTAAACTCCCATCCTGGAAGCTGAGGAACACAAGAGATATGAGCATTCTACAGTCTGGGATGTCTAAAGAGTTGATGTTAGTCACATACATTGAATACACTTTTCTGTCAATGCATGTACTTGTTGAAAAGTAGCATCTAGTCAGGAAATAAAACAGCAGTAATATTAACAATCCTGTGCAACATGTACTATTAGTACTATGAAAATTTTGACTGGAGATCTATGCCTACAGCTACTGCAAAAAGGCCAAGGCACAAGGAAATCTGTCACAGACTAAATTTCAAGATGATAAGCTCAGTGATGTTTAAAATTAAATCCCAGGTATCAAGTTTATGTTAGGAGAGTAATTGTATTATAATTCTGTTGAAATCACTGGGTGAATACACATATAAGGAGGGTGCATATTATATAGACATGAAGAGTGTTAGTAATTCTGATGTACTAACTACAAAACGAGTACAGAATATGCATCCAAGAATGGTGAACACTTACACAGAATAATCCACCACCATATGTCCCAACATGCACTTCACCCATGCAAATATGGCCATGTCTTCTTGTTCCCAGGTCACCAGGGGAGCCTGGGTGTGTCCCCTGCTATCTATCCCATCATGCCTTGTACCAGGATGATAAGGTTTGTATCTAGAAGTTATTGGAACTGCACGGACAGCATATTTCCCAACACCTTGTGTGAGAAGTAATGTGGAAATGATGTTAGTATCGGGAAACTTTTATTATTAACTGCAGTGACTTACTGGTGCTCAGACACTGATCTTACTCTTGTGAAGTTGTGAGTACATGTACATTGCCTTGACAAAAGATATGTCTGTACCAAATCTGCTGGTTTTCACACACTCACACTCACTCACTGTCCGGTTTATCGTACATTATTCCTAAGGCTGACTTGTATGTATACACTATGTATAACACAACTGAAAGTGCAATTTATATCATCTGGTGTATTTGCATATTATGATCATACCTTCACATCTTATCCTCAGAGCATGGCACAGAGCAAGAATGGCCTTTGCTTTACCATCCACAATATCTGCAAGAAACAAAGACGTAGGAAACAGATGATTGCAATGTATCTGTGTCAGTGATTGATATCACTGAAACTTGCCATTTAGAATATCAATTTGTAGACATCAAAATATAACATAAATGAAGTTTGCTTCTTCAGCTTTATTCCCCTGTATCAAGTCTCCTTGATGTACCCAAAGAAAATACTATTTCATAAGTAATGTTGATGTATTTTTTTCCATGCATGCTTCAATACCTTTTCCTTCTGAATCTTCATTATCCACTGACATAACATGTATCTTCACCCCTGTTATTGCTGACAAGGTTTTGCTGTCACCAATTAACATGTCATTGTTTTTGACCCCTAACCTCAGACATCCCTACCTGATGATGTCACCCCTTCCAACACGACTCCTCCCTGCCCACAGAAGCTCAGACATGCTGTCGTGTTCTCCACCCTCTGGATCCAGCTGGTTGGGTTGGGGTGAGGGTAGGGGATTTGTTGCTCGGCTGTGGGAGGGTTGCAGCTTTAGTTTCAGTAGATCACACTGATGAGGGACAACTACAATATGACAGATCCATCAAGTGATCAACTGTCCAGTTTTAAAATACAAGATGATGTAATCATATCAATTTATGGAAATTAAGTAATAAGGTCTTAACTGTAAACTTTGTACATGTACATGCACATTAAAATAGCCACCAAACAAGAAACCATGTAGATCTCACAAATTTAAAACAGCATACATGTTGTGTATATCACAAACTATAAGAACAGAATTTCATGATTGTGTTCTATCATTAAACTAAAATGTTACACACATGTATGTATTGCACAATGGTAGACATACCCATGACCTCTACCAGCTTGATGAGGGTAATCCCATCGGACAGGGCTGTTACAAGGTCCCCCACAGGAGGCAGGTCTCCTCTCTCAGACAGGTATGCATTGGCCCACACTGTGTATTCCTGAAGGGGGGAAAAGAAAGAATGCAGTATGTACTAGTATATTAATGATTGTTGACCACATAAGTACCAAAAGGTACACAATATCATTGAAAGTTACATGATACTGAAGTTGTAATTGAGAGTCAAAAATGTAACTTACATGCAGCTTGTTGAGGAGCCAAATAGCACACCACATCATAACGAAACAAGGTATACGTCATGCTACAGTAGAGTATTATCTGCTGAGCCCTACATATGAGTTGTGTCACAGCTGGTACATATAAGCTGCCTACAGATTCATGTTACTTGGGCTCCAAGCAATCTATTTCTATACAGAAAATCAATAAAAAGTTAGTGCAGCTACATTAACAATTCTAGCAGCCTCATTTTACTTTAAAGCAATTGTTGTGGTAAACCCCTAAAGGACCCTCAAGTGGTCCTCCTGGCTTCACTGGTCCATGTGACATCTGAAGTACATGTTCTCTAGAGCCTCATAGAACATTCAAATCATGCAAAACATTTTTGTTGAGATATGCTTGAATTTTTTTAAAAGGACTCTTCAGTGCTCTTCAGTTTGTTTGTTTTTTTTGTTTTTTTTTTACAGCAGGAGAATCACAAACCAAGGAGCTCTCAAGTTCCAGGCACAAAGACAAACTAAAGGTATCGATATCGACTCCCTAACCTGTATCTCGTGCTGAGTTTTCTCCCTGTCAGTGGAAGGGTTGTAACCCCCATCATATGGCCAGTATAACACGTTGGTTCCCTCCAAAGCTCCCCGGCGCCCAGGCTGCATGATGTCACATCATCTCCAACAGACAGGAGCTATGGCGAGAAAACCTGGTATAGAATACCTTAATTGAAGAAAATAACGCTCTTGTAACATTACTCACCATGGTTTATAAGTTATGGTATAAAGGCAAAGTGGTCATGTCACCACCAAACAAACCTGCACACATCTGCTTGGAGATAATTATTATTGCTATCACCAAATTATGACATTATGTGTCCTTGTTATCACCAAGGAGGTTAATAAACCTTGCTATCACTAGCAGCGTTATATACATAATTTGTGAATGAAAATTACATCTTTGATAAATAGAAGATGTTTTATCGCTTGAGTTTTCCTGCCATCAACAGTATTAAAGGACCTTGGTTCAAG